AATTAGTATCCTTTGATTTCAGTTTGAAGAATTCTAGCATTTCTTGTAAGGAAGGTGTGTTGAGGAACTCCCTCAGCTTTTGTTTGAGAAAGTCTTTATCTCTAGTTTTTGAGGGACTGTTTGCTCGGCATTCTTGGTGTAGGTAGTTTTTGTTGTTGTTGTTACTATTACTGTTTTTCCCCCCCAAAGATTTTATTTATTTATTCCTGAGAGACACGGAGAAAGGCAGAGACATAGGCAGAGGGAGAAGCAGGCTCCCTGTAGGGAGCCTGATGCAGGACTCCATTCCAGCACCCCAGGATCACAAACTGAGCCAAAGGCAGATGCTCAACCACTGAGACACCCAGACGCCCTTGTAGTTTTTTGTTTTTGTCTGCATTTTCTTTTAGCGCTTTTAATGTAATCTCGTTTTCTTCTGGCCTGCAAAGTTTCTGCTGATAAATCTTATTGCCTTAAAGGAGATTTCCTTGTAGCCATGAGTTGCGTTTCTCTTTCTGATTTCACACTTTTCACTTTGTCTTTAACTTTTGAACTTTGGTTATAATGTGTTGTTTTGTAATCAGTTGAGGACTTACCCTGTTTTGGGACCTCCAAGCCTTAAGGATCTGGAGGTCTATATCCATCCATAATTTAGGAAGTTTCATTGTTTCTTTGAATAAACTTTCTGCCTTTTCTCTCCCTTTTCTCTTTTTGGGACTCCCACAATGGGTATATTGCTTCATTTGATCATAGCCCATAAATTATTCTTATAGGTGTTTTCACTTTTTAAATTCATTTTTCTTTTTTCTTCTCTCACGTGATAATTTGAAATATGTGTTTGAGCTCAGAGATTCTTTGCTGTGCTTGATCAAATATGCTGTTAAAGCCTTCTTTTTTTTTTTTTTTAAGATTTTATTTATTCATTCATGAGAGACACACAGAAAGAGAGAGAAGCAGAGACACAGGCAGAGGGAGAAGCAGGTCCCATGCAGAGAGCCGGACTTGGGACTCAATCCCAGGTCTCCAGGATCACACCCTGGGCTGCAGGCGGCGCTAAACTGCTGAGCCACCTGGGCTGCCCGTGTTAAAGCTTTCTATTGCATTTTTTGTTTCATTAATTGTATTCTTCTGCTCCAGAATTAATGCTTGATTATTTCTTGTGATTTCTTTTTGTTGAACTTCTTGTTTTGTGTATCTTCCTGATTTTGTTGAGTTGTTTATCTGTGCTCTCGTGTAGCTCACTGAGCTTCCTTAAAAAGTTTGTTTATGCTGAAAGGTGCCCGTTTATTTTTTCCCAGGGCAGTGACCTGATGTTTTCAAGATTATATGTACCTTCTTTCAATCCAGGAGTGTTGAGCCAGCCATCTGTGATTGCTTGTCTATGTTTTGCAGTGCCTTGTGTGAGCTGGTTTCATTGAGAAGGAGCATAGTGGAGTGCTAGGGACACTAGTTGGGGTTGTCATCAGGCCCCACTAGATGGGGCCTAGTTGGGGTTGTCATCAGATAATGTGTCTTCTGAGGATTGTGGGTAGGCCTCTTGCTGGAACCTGGGAGTAGTCAGTAAAATCATCCGCCCTTTGTTGAATTCTGTGCCCTGATTGTTGTGCATCCTTTTCTTTTTCCCTGCTTTCCTGATGCTCTCAGTGTTCTGGTGGAGTGAGAATGAAGAGACCCCTGAGCAGCATCCCATAGAGCTGGGGAGGTGGGTGCACATTCTATTCTCAGTTTCCCCTGTGGGAGAAATCATAGGCGGTTCTTTCTTGGCACTGATGTATGCTGCTGTAGGGAAAGTGTGAGATGAGTGAACTTGTAACTGTTCTTTATTTAGTGCACCTATTCAGAGTTTTTGCTCCAAAGAGCTGATGGTACTTCTCTGCTGACCCCAGGGTTTTCACAAAGGTACTCTAGTCCATGGGCAGTTGTCAAAATTGTTGTTTGTATGAGAAATGAGTGCTGAAAACTCCCTATTCCTTCATGTTGGTGTCACTCTTTGTAGATTTCTTTTAATGCAACATTTATATTTACGAGATTTTTCATGATGTATGCATGACTTTAGCTGGTCATGTTAACTCAGATAACAAACAATAATATTGGGAATATTTAGAATGGTTTATTTATTTATTTATTTATTTATTTATTTATTTATTTATTTATAAAAAAAGATTTTATTTATTCATGAGAATACACAGGAGAGAAAGGGAGGCAAAGACACAGGGAGAGGGAGAAGCAGGCTCCATGCAGGGAGCCGGGCGTGGGACCCGATCCTGGGTCTCCAGGATCACGCCCTGGGCTGAAGGCGGCGCTAAACTGCTAAGCCACCCGGGCTGCCCTAGAATGATTTTAGATTGGACTTTATATTGAATTTTCAAGAAATTGATGTATGAATTCCTAGCTATAAAAAAGCAGCTTTAAAGTGGGGTTGAGACAAATGTCTAGCTTTTGAAAAATGTGATGGATTCAGACATTTATTTTCAGTGTTGGTTTTCATCATAACTATATAGTACCTTGTTATCAATAAAGTTGTCGTGGTCTGATGGATGGTTTTGTGGTAATTATAAGAGATGAGTAAAAAATGTAGAGCTCATTTCTTCTAAGGTCTTAAAAATCTGAGGCATATGTCCCTGTTGTTCACAATGGCCTTTAGTTCTTCACTTTCCATTGAAAAATGATTTCAAAAAAAAAAAAAAGTGATTCCCTAAGTAAGCAGACTGAACTTAGCTGACAATTGTATGAATTCCTCACATCATTCTCCTGCCCCTCAATATGTGGTATAATAATTGAAAGCTGCCACTTAACTGTTTTTTTATTGTAAAATTAAGGACAATTAAAAACATCCCAGATGGGCAATTTATGCCCGGTTTTATGTAGGTAAAAATGCGAATTAATGGATTCTTTTTTTCTTGGGGACTGGGCAGCTATTACAGACATTGCTAGAATTGTATTTCATGGTGATTTATTCCTAGAAAGAACACATGAAAATAACTAATTTTAAAGGGAAAAATCACTGATAATTCACTATTCAGATGGTTTTAGCTTTTTGTATCTTTTTCAATTTGTGAAAGTTTATTCTAAAAAAATTCATACTTTGTTTTTTTTTTCTAAGCAATTTTAAGGTTTTAGAAAAATCGAGCAGAAAGTACAGAGTTCCCATATACCTTCTCATTCCCTCCAGTTTCTTCTAGTACTAATATCTTTCATTAGTATAGTATATTATGGTTGATGAATGCCAATATTGATGTTATTACTAACTAAATTTCATAGTGTACAATAGGGTTTATTCTTTGTGTGGGTTGTGACAAACGTATAATTATATGTATTCACCATTACAGTATCAGACAGAATAGTTTCACTGCCCTAAAAATATTCTGTGTTTCACCTATTCATTTCTCTCCCCTGAACTCCCCTGTTAGTCACTAATCTTTTTATTGTCTAATTTTGCCTTTTCTAGAGTGTCATATAGTTGAAATCATACATTACGTAGCTTTTCAGATTGGCATCTCTCCATTAGCAATATTCATAGAAGTTTGGTCTATGTAAGTTTCTTTGCATGGTTTGATAGCTTGTTTCTTTTTATTACTGAATAAGTCTTTGTTATGTCCATATAACACAGTTTATTCACCTATCAGTATCTTAACGTGCTTTCAACTTTTGACAGTTGTGAATAAAGCTACTATAAACATTTACGCAACTTTTTGTGTGGACCTAAGTTTTCACCTCATTTAGGCAAATTGCCTTTTAACTTTTATAGTTAGGCACACACTTTTTTATATAGCTTAAAACTTATTTCATCTAATTGCAATGAGCATTTTGTCTTGCTCTTTACTTTTAAGATACCATAAACAAATCATTTGTACATTTTCTAAATGTACTTAATATTCTAAAGAAAAAAACACACTTTGTCATTCTTATTGCTTCTTTTCTTCCCCCCTAAAATAAAATGCTTTTGTACATATAGATTTCCCTCTTTTATATTGCTTTAATATAAATTTCAAGGGAAATTCCAAAGAGTAGGAGTAGGTCAAGGAGTCAAGGCCATTTTTTTAGATAATTCTTTACTAAGGATTTCGGATCCTCTTCTATGTACATTGGAGATTTACTACAGTTTATGTTGCTATCCAGACAAGAGTAATACCAGTTATATGTGTGATTCTAAAGTCCAACTTTTTTTTGTTTTTAAGGTTTTCAGTGTTTTCCTTTAAGAAAGTGGTGGTATTGTGTTTTTTTGTTGTTCAGAAATTAATGTTTGTCATCTGGATCTCCTGTTCTTGATTACTTGAGAACTTTATGTAGTAGTTTATTGAAAGTTTTAGATGTATAGCTTTACTACATACCTAACTTTCTCTTATTATAATATAGTCTAAATGTGCATTTAGTATAGTTAAATAAGATTCTTTCTCAAATACTTCTTTTTATAGGTGGGGAAACAGGCTTTCCTTGACACAGCATACTCTTGGATATAGCTTTGAGTAATATTTGAACTCTTGAGACTTGCATTAACTTCTTTTTTTGCAAGTTAAATATCAATAGAATTACTAGATCAAAATTTTTTCCTCTTTTTATAGGTTATTAAATTGGACTTTTTAAAGGTACATTTCAAATATAGGAATTTAAAGTTAGGAAAATATATTTCCAGTTAAGCCATGTGCCTTATTTTTGGTACAAAAATTTGATCAGAGCTTCTGTGCATATTTTTGGCCTATTTTCACTTCTACTTAGGGCATCATGGCTGAGTGGAGAAAGTCTGAAGGATGTGAGTTTGAATTCTTTTCCACTTGCCATATGTGAGACTTGGGAGTTACCTGCTCAACCTGTTTGAGCTTCAGGATCCTTAGCTGTAGAAGGGAAGCATTATCCCCACCCATTCCATATTCTTACTTAGAATTTAAGATATGGTCAGTGTCTTTAATTAGATTTGTCAAATGTCAGATTCACTTTTTTTGATAATTTTGTTTTCTATTCAGAAGTGGAAATAAATGTAAGAATATTATCAATACTTGATTATTTATTTATTTATTTGACAGAGAGTGTGAGCGAGCACAAGCAGGTGGAGCTGCAGAAGAAGAGGGAGACTCCTTACTGAGCAGGGAGCCTGACTTTGCCTTGATCCCAGCACCGTGGGATTATGACCTGACTGGAAGGCAGGTGCTTAATTGAGCCACTCTGGTCCCCCTCAATACTTGATTTCAATACTTGATTCCCTTATGGTCACACTTTAATAAGTTTTATTATTTTGTTTTATTTATAAATTGGATTTAATTTTTCATGTTGAACCAGAAAAAGCTCTAATTCTGTCATTTCTTGTTTTAGAGAAAACCAAAACAACTTTTTTTCCCCTCCTCCCCAAGGAGTTTGTATTTTTATCCCCTTCTTATTTTTTCCCTTAAAAAGTGTTTGGTGAAATTCTAGGGCCTAAAAGAATAAAATACCGAATAAGTAATTAAGTGAGTTCTGCAGCCTGCAATAATTATCTTATCTCATCTCAAATTGGTAGTTAGGCTGGTCTCTCCTGTCTTCCCAGGTGATGACCTTTTGTGGGTGGATGAACTCTGTCCCTCAAAACTATCTGGTAGCTTCATAAGCATTTTTATTAACGGAGTGGGTACAGTTAAGAGACAGATTTTCTTCTCTGTTGAATGGTGAAGCCATTTTCATGGATGATTTTCTCTATTTTGATCTGAGGCTAAATTTTTATATTCATATTCCCTTGAAGAACATAGGAATGTTCTTAAAAATGCAAATTAATAGTTGTATTAATTAATAACAAAAAGTCCATTTCTGTTAAGTATATTTGGAAGCAGAGCGCTTTTTTTTTTTTAAGATTTTATTTATTTATTCATGAGAGAGAGAGAGAGAGAGAGAGAGAGAGAGGAGCAGAGACACAGGCAGAGGTAGAAGCAGGCTCCATGCAGGGAGCCCGATGCGAGACTTGATCCTGGGTCTCCAGGATCAGGCCCTGGGCTGAAGGCGGTGCTAAACCGCTGAGCCACCCGGGCTGCCCAGATCACTTGTTTTTAAAGAATAAGTTTTTGAGCGACGTACTCTTTAGTGCAAGATTTCTTTTTATTTTTATTTCTTTTTTATTTTTTTAATTTTTAAAAAAAGATTTTATTTATTTATTCATGAGAGACACAGGGAGAGGCAGAGACACAGGCAGAGGGAGAACCAGGCTCCTTGCAGGGAGCCTGACGCGGGACCTGATCCCAGACCCTGGGACCACGACCCGAGCCGAAGGCAGATGCTCAACCACTGAGCCACCCAGGTGTCCCAAGATTTCTTTTTAAATTTTCTACTGCAGGGCAGCCTGGGTGCTCAGCGGTTTAGCGCCACCTTCAGGCCAGGGCCTGATCCTGGAGACCCGGGATTGAGTCCCACGTCGGGCTCCCTGCACGGAGCCTTCTTCTCCCTCTGCCTGTGTCTCTGCCCTCCCTGTATGGAGCCTGCTTCTCCCTCTGCCTGTGTCTCTGCCTGTGTTTCTGCCTCTCTCTCTGTGTCTCTCATGAATTAATAAATAAAATCTTAAATTAAAAAAAAAACTATTCTTAAAAAAATATAAATTTTCTACTGCAATAAAAATTTTTTTTTCTTGAGAACTTAGCAGAGACGCTTTTTTTTGGAGGGGGCAGTAATAGAACTGAAAGGAAAATCTTAAGTTAGAGAATAATAAAACGTGAATTCCTTTAGAAGGAATTTGAAAATTTACGGTGTGCCAGGAAGTGTACTTAGCTGTGGATTTAAAAGATGATTAAAGTACTGCTCTCTGGTCTACTTTTGCTTGTATTCTAGTGGGAACAATAGGTAAGTAAGGAAACAGTGAGTTGGACCATTTGAAATTATAAAACACAGAGGTAATCACCCTATTTTGAGATGCTTCCTGGAGGAGATGGGAATACCTGACTGGAGTTCTGAAAAAGGAGAGACTTAAAAATGAGAGTAGAGGTGGTTGTATATCCAGTGCAACATGGAGGACACCTAGAGAGAAGAGGGAGCTGAGTGCATTGGGTACTCTAGAATTTAGTATGCCTGAAGCGGCTTTCTGGTAAGAAGATTGGATGTCTTTTGTGCTGCACTGAGAGTTTTTATTTATAATACAAGCTGTGAGCAGTCGTTTAAAGATTTTTTTTTCTTTTTTTATAAATTAATTTTTATTGGTGTTCAATTTACCAACATACAGAATAACACCCAGTGCTCATCCCGTCAAGTGTCCCCCTCCGTGCCCGTCACCCATTCACCCCCACCCCCGCCCTCCTCCCCTTCCACCACCCCTAGTTCATTTCCCAGAGTTAGAAGTCTTTACGTTTAAAGATTTTAAGTGGGGGTGACACATTACCTTATTTTAATTTGAATAAATTAAATGGCTTAAAAATTACAAATATAAAAATGTAGATTTGTCTCCACGTGGTGAAAGATGAAAATTTGAAGAACCCAAATCACACTCCACTAATTTCATTTTTCATTGGCCGTTGGGCTTTTAGCTCAGGTTTTAACAATTTTTTTGGTCTCAGGGCTCCTTTATACTCTTAAAAAAGAAAGGAATTTTTAGGCATGTTTCAGGTCTGACTCAGTTGGCAAACTTAATTCTTACCTCCAGGTTGAAATTTTTCTTTTGAAGAAATAACTTTATGTTTAACTTTTTAAAAAGAAGGTAATTTAAGCCATTCTTTTCTGATATCCCAACAGCCATTTTCTCAGTGGTGAGGATTTTTCTAAATGCGTTTTCTGTTTTCCATTTACCTAAGCTTGAAAAGGGGCAAAAATTATTTTTTCTTTAAAGATTTATTTATTCGAGAGAGAGAGAGAGACACAGAGACAGAGACATAGGCATAGGGAGAAGCAGGCACAGGGAGCCTGATGCGGGACTCAATCCTGGATTTCAGGATCATTCCCTGAGCAGAAGTCAGATGTTCAACTTCTGAGCCACCCAGGCATCCCCCGAAAAATAATTTTTTTTAAGAGTTAAAAAATAAAGGTTGTTGTTGTTGAATGCAAAGAAAGAAGGCACCTGGAAACAGAATTGTGACCTCGAGTGGTTTTATAAATTTTGTTATGTGTCACTTCCATTTTTTTTTAAAGATTTTATTTATTCATTCTTTAGAGAGAGAGAGAGAGAGAGAGGCAGAGAGGCAGAGACACAGGCAGAGGGAGAAGCAGGCTCCATGCAGGGAGCCTGATGTGGGACTCGATCCCGGGTCTCCAGGATCAGACCCTGGGCCAAAGGCGGCACTAAACCGCTGAGCCACCCAGGCTGCCCTCACTTGTTCCATTTTAAAAATCTTTATTAAACCAGAATCTAATGGTCTTGTATTTTTCTGTATCTTATTTCTGGTGCTTACTAATTGCTGTCAAATAGTGGGACATGTCATTTGATCTGTCAATTTATATAATTTTTAAAAATTTCTTCATGGTATGAGAAGAAATATAATTTATGGAAGAATGATATTTTAGGTTTAGTAAAGACAGCTCTTCAGGATAGAATAAACCCAATTTGTGATACCTTTTTGTTCTGCTATTTGCATAGTTTTGTAGACTTTAGAGATAGATGAATATACTTGCAGTCTAGGTATTGGGTTGCTATGTTAATCATTGTTCTGGAGATTTTCTAATCTGCAAAATGAGAGTGATAAAATAAATTTACAGTTTTAGGGTGGGGTTGGTGAAATGTAGCTTTCGCCTTTTTTTTTTTTTTAATGGCTCATGAGCTAAGAGTGGTTTTTACATTTTTAAATAGTTTTAAAAAGTTGTTTTATGACATATGAATGTAAATTATATGACCCGTAAGTTTCAGTGTCCATAAATAAAACTTCATCGGTATACACCCACACCCATTCGCTTATGTACTATCTAAGGCCAGTTTTTCACTACAGTAGCAGAATTAAGTAGCTGTGGTAGATGCCTTTTATGGTCTACAAAGTCTAAAATGTTTACTGTCTGGACTTTTACAGAAAAAGTTTGTTGATCCTGCCTGAGTGTCTTGAATGCTGACTAGTTATTAGCTAAGTCATATATGCTTTTGAAACGGTTTCCACAAATTACTTATTAAATGGTTAAAAATTAAATGGTAAAGGAGTATATAAAGGGCCATGATGATGTCTGCGACTACAGATAAACATTGAGATGTAATTAATTTTCATTTACTTCTGAAGAAAAGTGCTACTTTTGAAAGGCAAATAAATGTATTTGTTTGCTAGGACTTCCATAGAATATCACAGACTGGGTGGTTTAAACAATAGACATTTCCCCCCCATAATTGTGGAGGCTAGAGGCCTAACATCAAGGTGCTGGCAGTTTTGGTTTCTCCTGAGGTCTCTCTTCTTGGCTTGCAGGCAGTTGCCTTCTTGCTGTGTCCTCAAATGGCCTTTTTTCTATGCATGTGCATCTCTTTTTATAAGAGGTGTTCTCTTTTTATAAGAATACCAGTTCTAGTGCATAAGAGCCCACTGTTAAAAATTTAATAGCCCTATCATCATATATAATCACATTCTAAAGTACTTGGGGCTAGGGTTATACCATGAATTTGGGGGGACAGAATTCAGTCCATAACATCAAAGGAGTTCTTTCTTTTTTTAAAAGATTTTTTTAAAAGATTTTATTTATTTATTCATAGAGATACAGAGAGAGAGAGAGAGAGAGGCAGAGACACAGGCAGAGGGAGAAGCAGGCTCCATGCAGAGAGAGCCTGACGTGGGACTCGATCCAGGGTCTCCAGATCATGCTGTGGGCTGCAGGCGGCGGTAAACCGCTGCGCCACCGGGGCTGCCCTTTTTTAAAGATTTTATTTATTTATTTGAGAGAGCATACGGCATGATGGGGTAAGGGCAGATGGAGAGAGAGGGAAGCATACTTCTGCTTTAAAGATTCATCATGCAGGGAGCCTGATTCGTGGCTCAATCCCAGGACCCTGAGATCATGGCCTGAACTGAAGACAGACAGTTAACCAACTGAGCCACTCGGCCACCCCAGTACTGAGGAATTTCTAATTGAAAGCTTCATTTAATCATTAGGTAAGTTTTGAGGCTGTACTATGTGACAGCCTATGTACTGTGGTAAACAGGACAGACAAAATTTGACACTTTAGGAACTGATGGTTTAGTGAGGGAGGATAGATAATAGAAACAAGTAATATGATTTCACAGAGTGGGAAGTGC